GGGCGTTTTACGGGACGGCTTTGTTCCTTTGCCTTCCCCGGCCTCTGCCGTCGAGTCGAGCGCGGGGCTGGTGGTCGCGGAGCTGGTAATTAACGCGTGGAACGGCAGAAATGCCCCTTGCCGTGAGTTAAGCAGACGGCGAGCAACAGCGGAGGGCCTGGTAGTGGAGAGCTTTTCCCCACCTGGTGGTCCAGGTAATAAAGTCCCGAGCGTTCTCTGTGTCTGTAGAGTCTGTAACTGCGAATTGGGGTACTTCAAAGCTTTAGCGCTGGCCTCCAAGGCGTTGGCCCGGTGTGTTGTACTCCCTCCTGGCACCTCTCCCAGCTGCGTCGGCACCTGCTTCTGGCGCTAATTTCTTAGCCAAGGCTGTCCTGTGTGCCCCAGCAACCTTTCGCGTTAGCGAAGTAATTTCTGTGCTGCTGAGCTGGAGACTTTCCTCTTCATTGCTTCTGTTTATGCCGTTGTTGCTGCAGTTTGAGGAAAATGTGCTGACTGTCTGAGTTTTAACGGCTATTTGCAGTAGGAGCTGTAACTTAAAATGCAGCTAAATTTAAAACTGTATTAAAGCTCCCCAGAACGTTGCTCCTATTTTTATCTTATGAAGCTCTGAAAACTTGCAGATTTTTAGTGGCCTACATAGTACCAAGTTATTTGTAGGCAGGGCGTGAGCTGTGTTCTGCAGCCTTCCAGAAGGAGAAGGATTGGGATCTTTCATCTTGCCTTGGGTTCTGAGCCCCTGTAGTAGATTAGAGAATATTTGAAGCACTAAAGTGCTATACTGCATCGCTCTGTGGCTCTGCTATCTGTACACTGTGGAGGGGTGAGGATCTTCATTCCCTAGGGAAGAATTTAGATGCATATATCTCAATAAAACAGAACTCTTAGAGTATTTTTCTTTGTGCAGCTTCCAAAACTCACTTTAAAAAAAAAAAAAAACAATAATTTGAAGCTGATTCTCTTTTCTTTGGGCCAGTAATCCGTTTTTTGTTTGGATGTGGAAAGAAAGGACTGGGCTGTTTATTTAGCTCTGGTTTCTTGGCAGGAAGATGGAGACTGCGATGCTGAACTTACGGAGTCTGTATGATCAACTTATACGCCAGGCTGAAGTTTTAAGTGAAGGCAACGAGTTCCGTAAGTTCTGTTTCTGAAGTGGGTTGTGCTGTGTTTGCTGTAAGAATATAAACATGCAAACAAACATTATTAGTTGCTTTTGAAGAACCTGTCAGTGATGCTATGTAACCATAAGACTGCTACAGACAGTCAGATTTTAGGGTTTTTTTCATTGTCAAGAACTATGAAGTCACGGGCTGAACTTGTAGCCAGCTGCCTTCATCCATGCAGGGTCTCATGTTCCAGCTCTTCTGGTTGATATTGACATGAAGGACTTGTTCATGAGATCTTGCAGTTTTTCAGACTATCTGGAGTGTGGTGGGTTTGCCGAAAGGCCGGCTTCTCCACTCTTCAGTTGAGAGCGGGTTGTGCTAGTAGATATCTCCTGTCAGTGATAGGAGGGCTGCTGCATCTCCTCTGCTCGCCTGGGTAGCTGAAGATGTTGGTGTCTTCTCTCCAGAGTTTATTCGGTTAGCAAAGAACTTTGAAGAGTATCGGAGAAAATTGCAGGAAGCGGAGCATGAGCTTGGCAGGTACAAAGATCTTCTCATGAAAACTGAAGCTGAGCGTAGTGCTTTGGATGTGAAGCTGAAACATGCTCGCAATCAAGTGGACGTGGAGATCAAACGCAGGCAAAAAGCTGAAATGGACTGTGAAAAGCTGGTGAGTAATTCCTTTAGTACCAGGAATTGAGTGTGTGGAGACAAGGCGATTAAACTGTGTTGATCTATGCAAAATAAGGACTGGCACTCGTGATGGCTGACTCAACAACACCACATTGGCTTGCGTCCTTGTAGTAGCCTTCTGCTTTGGTGCAGAAAAAGGCGACTGGCTGCTGCTTGGAGCTGAGCTGCTGTTACCTGACAGAGCATGGGCTTTGCAGCCATTATCAGTCTATTGACACAAGCTCTGAGAACCTATCTGCGTGGTGTCTCAGACACTTCAGATTGGTCTGTACAGTAATTAAACACAGTTTATCCTGTGACAGCTTCTGATATTATCTACCTTTACAGGAGAGGCAAATACAACTGATTCGAGAGCTGCTCATGTGTGATGCATCTGGGAGTATTCAGCTAAGTGAAGAACAGAAGTCTGCCCTTGCCTTTCTTAACAGGCCACAGGCTTCTATAGGGGGTTCAGGCAACAAAAGGTAGGCAGTGTGTGTCTGAGCAACGTGAATGTCAGATGGCAATCCAGCCGTGTACCTCTGTGATGCGTACTGCACCCATATCAACAGAGTTTTACTTTTTATTCCAGTTTGAGATACAGCTCTTCTGAGTCAGGAAGATTGTTCTGGAACTATGCTGACTGAAAGCCAAACTGATACAAGTTCCTTCTAATTTTTGATTCTTAGGCTGTCTACAATAGATGAATCTGGCTCAATTCTGTCAGACATCAGCTTTGACAAGACTGATGAGTCACTGGTAATGTAACTCCAAGTTCTGAAGTTTTCCTCCACTGTAAAACCTTAGGGGTGTGGGCTAAGCTCTAGAGACCCCTTGTGTTTAGATTGCTGTGGTATTAAACTGGTAGAGCTGATTTGAATTTCTCTGGTGTGCTGTTGGCTAAACCTTAATGAAAGCCCTGGCCAGAGGCCGTATGGTATTTGGACGGAGCTAACTGGTGTTGTGTATTTCCCACAGGACTGGGATTCCTCCATGGTGAAAGCTGTCAGACTGAAAAGGAGACAGAAGCGGGTATGTTCAGTTCTTCCCCTTCGAATAGATTCTGTTGTTGGCCTTAGCTGACACAACGTCACCATCTGTTATCTCACAGCCACCTATACTGATGTCTGAGCTACTAATCACAATCAAACTTCAGATGGATGTGCTGCTACTATAATTCACACCTGCTGTGTGGATTTAGATTGAAAGTTAATTCTGGTGTCATTGTTTGTCTGCTGAAGATGACTGGAGTTCTGCATATCTTGTTGTTTTATGGCCTAGACTTTGCAAGAAAGCACTTGGAGATTATTAACACCGATCAGGTTAGGGCAAAATCATGCAGGAAGTTAATGTTTTTCTATTCTCTAAAGGAGCTTGTGGTTGTTCTGGTCTGCTGTTAGTATGTAGTGAGCACAGGTGGGAGAGGACAGCCTGATAGCACTAGCAGGTCTGGGACTTGCTTAGTTGCCCCTTTTCTGTGTGTGTTTGTGTGTTGTTTGTTGTTTTTTTTTTCTCCTCTCCTCCTTTCTTCCTTTTTTTTTCTGAGTTGGGTTACAAAGCTGGCTAGGAAAATTATTTGAGAGTGCAGTATATTGAGGCCTCCTGATACTTCATGGGTACTTCAAGGTTACCATGAAGTACAGGTATCATGGAAGAACTTAACGCATCTGTGGTGTGTGTGCAGACAGTTGTTCAGTCCTAGCTATACTGAACTGGTATAACATGAAGTTAACAGCTTCATAGACAAGAACATACCTATCAGGTCTATGTATCATAGACCTGCTTCATAGACAAGAACACGCTGTGTCTTTTCAGCGATCTTCCAGGCAGTTCATCGAAGGCCCACCAGGTCCTCAGAAGAAAACCAGATCAATTGGCTCCACGGCAGACCAGGTATGGGAGTGGTCCCTGCTGGGTTTGTGCACACTTACAGTAGCTGGTCATATTGTATACCTGTTTCTAGGGCCAATGAACTAGAAAATTCCGTGTCCTGTCAGTATTGCTGTCACTAACTGCACATTTTTCATCACAGGCAAATGAATCCATAGTAGCAAAGACAACTCTCATGGTCCCCAATGATGGTGGCCCAATTGAAGCTATTTCTACTATCCAGATCCTAGTCCTGAAGCAGCTACTTAGTAGGCTGGAAGCTGTCCTGGAATGTTACGGTTACCTCCTTCAAGGACCTAGGCAGCTGCCTCTGGTTTACGATGCTCTTGCTTTTAAAGCAAATGCTATAGGGGGTGAAGGGTGATTCCGTTCAGTCAACACTCTGCCTCTTCTGTCTTTCAGGTCCTTTGCAGCCTTGGAGCAGCGAGTCAAGCGTGGGCAGTAAGCAGCTGGAATCCAAATCGGAGACTGATGGCCCTTGCACCCCGCAGAGCAATGGGGGAGTGAGGCTGCATGAATTTGTTTCAAAGACGGTAGGTCTACAGGCAGGAAGAACTTGAAAAAGTCTCTCCTTCCATTTTTAGATGTGTTTGATGTCAGCTATTGGTAAGAGGCTACAAGGCATTATGTCTCCAGTCAATATTAACTGTACCAGTTACCTGCTTGGATCAGGGAAGATGTTATCCAGTTTAAGTTCTGCCGAGTTACTGCGTTGCACTGATCTCTTCCCATCTGTATGCGCCGAATCATTAGGTTATCAAGCCAGAATCATGTGTTCCATGTGGAAAGAGAGTAAAATTTGGAAAAATCTCTCTGAAGTGCAGAGACTGCCGTGTGGTCGCTCATCCAGAGTGTCGGGACCGCTGTCCTCTTCCCTGCATCCCCACCTTGACAGGCACTCCTGTCAGGATTGGAGAGGTGAGGCTGTAGGGTGAGCTTGGGGCAGTACAGCTGCCAGCACAAACGGGCTGCTGTTTGGTTAGAACATGCTTGGGCGTCAGCAAGTCTGCCTTCTACAGAAGAGCTCCTGTTGCTCAGAGCTGCATAATAAAATGCAAATGAGCTTGCTAATGTATCATTCGATAACCGGGGTAGTGGGTGGTAGGGATGTGATGTTAGGAGCGTGTCGAGTTGTGAACGTGGCACCTCCGGGTAAGCAATCCTGCAGCATTGTGCTGCTGGATGTAGTGTTGCTGTGCTCTGGACTGATGAAGAAGAAATAACACTTTTTTTTTAAGCTAAGATCTCACTGTGAGTTCCTGAGAGAGTACCTTCTGTGTCTTGAAGACTGAGTATTTATTTCTTACTTTCCCTTCTGCCTCTTAGGGGACCTTGATGGACTTTGTCCCTTCTACTTCTCCAATGATCCCTTCCATCATAGTGCACTGTGTTAATGAGATTGAGCAGCGAGGGATGCATGAGGTAAAACAAAAATGAGGTGTGAAACAGTGCTAATGAAATGGGTTGCGGTGTTGGGGAAACAAATTGTTGATACAAATACCTCTTATTTATGGTGTGTTATAGAGCTGCTCGGTGGGTGACACTGTGAGTGAGCAACAGTGTCTGTGTAGAGTGCTCAGGTGTGGAGAGAAAGTGGGAGTGGAAGAATGTCAGCTTTATGCGTGCAGCTGATATTCTCCCTCTAAGCAATGCTTTCTGTCAACAGACAGGCCTTTACCGGATATCTGGCTGTGACAAGACAGTGAGGGAACTGAAAGAGAAGTTTCTCAGAGCAAAAAATATGCCTTTGCTCAGTAAAGTGGATGATATCCATGCCATCTGCGGCCTTCTCAAGGACTTTCTACGCAGCCTGAAAGAACCCCTTCTCACTTTCCGGTTAAACAAGACTTTTATGGAAGCTGCAGGTAAGGAGTTGCTAAGTGACATCTCCAACTCTCTGCCTAGGGTTGATGGTCACAGGTTTAGCTGGTGTGTGAACTGGCAGGTCTTCAGCGCTCCGTGGAGCCCTCGTGCTTGCAGCTGTGTTGATGTGCAATATGCTGGGACGATCTCTCTTCTGCTGTACTCTTTTGGAAGAGAAAAGAAACAAGTTCTAGTGCTTGGACAGGATATGAAATTATTATAATAGCCAGAAACTTCACATGCCTCCTTGTTTCTCAGGCTAGCTATTGCTGTGAGGGGAGTGTTACAGCTGTGTCTCTAGGACTGCTTTCCAAGGTGGAAATGTTCTTCTGTTTTCCCCCAGAAATCTTGGATGAGGACAACAGTATTGCTGCTATGTACCAAGCAGTTGGTGAACTTCCTCGGGCCAATAGGGACACCTTGGCTTTCCTCATGATCCACCTGCAGAGGTATGTTCAAATGAACTGGTAGTCCTGAAAGGGGGATGTTGCCACCGGTGCTTTCTCTAATTGGCTCTTGTTACTGCTTGTGAGCATAAAGTCTTTGTTCTGGAAGAAACCTGCTTATTGAGAGGCTGAAGTGTGGGTAGGACATGGGGAGCTGTATGAAAAGTGAAGGGGAGAAGCTATGTTCTCTGTTTCTTCATTTTTTTAATATAGGGTGGCTCAGAGCCCGGAGACTAAAATGGACATTAGCAACTTGGCCAAAGTCTTTGGCCCCACAATTGTCGCCCATGCAGTACCTGATCCTGACCCTATGACACTCCTGCAGGACACAAAGCGGCAGCCCAAGGTAGGCCAGCAAAAAGGGCTGACTTGGGTGAATGTATCCCATTTAGAGAATTAGCACAAATTGGTGGAGGGAGCTGAGGCGATGCCTGTCTGGTGTTGTCGAAACTGTGTGCCAGTTTGTAACACCAGCTGCTCATGGGTGTCTGCAGGTAGTGGAGCGACTTCTGCTGCTGCCTATGGACTACTGGAGCCAGTTGATCATGACGGAGCAAGAAAACATTGACCCAGCACACATAATTGAGAACATGAATGCCTACTCCACTCCACAGACACCAGATGTTAAAGGTAACCCCTGGGTGCTGCTCTACTGGCTGTGCAGCTGCTGTGTTAAAATGACCCTCGGTCAAAGCTGCTTGCGAGACTGTTGGAGCTAGCTGTTCCTGCACACTTTATGGAGGAAGAGGGAAGGCAAGCGTGCCAGGGAATACCAGATTTGTCTAGTATTTTTGACAGATGCTAGGGAATGTCTGATGTTCCTTGCATGGCAATGAAAACTTCAGCTGTCCTCATGTTGCTCTCTTCGCTTGCCTCTCTTTTGGCAGTGAGTGTGCTTGGACCCCTCACTACTCCGGAACAGCAGCTCTCCAAGACGCTGTCGTCTAGCTCCCTGTCCCAGAGGGTCCGGTCTACCTTCAGCAAAACCACCCCCAAGTAAGTGCTGAGGGGTGTTATCGCAGAGATTTTAGGATGACTGCAGGTGGTTTGGGTGTTCAAGAAGAACTAAAAATAAAGTTTTGGACCCAGTTCTGGGAGCAGTCTGAATTTAGTACTTGGCCAACTCTCCCTTAATCAGTGCTGTAGTAACAGTGCAAGCTGTGTAATTGTTAATGAGCATCATCCTGTGGTAGGGAGAGGAGCACTTTGTTTGGGAGGTGGGTAAAATTTAGGTGAATGACTCCTGGGATAGGGAGGGTGTCAGACCTCTATATCCCACATCCAAACATGATATTTTTCTGCTTCTCTTGAACTAGATTTGGGAGCAAAAGCAAGTCATCAACCCCGCTTGGGCATCAGGGCAACTTCTTTGCCTCTCCTGTGCTGAAGTGAAGTTGACCTGGGAGTTAGCATCGGCCTAGCATTTGCACACCAATCTGCATGAGTACAGTAAACGCAAGTCCTTTCCATGGCCCTCGGCAGCTTATGTAATAAGATGTTTTTCCTTTTATCTTTCAGCTTAACTGAGACTTTTAATGGGATTTTATTGTGCAATGTATTTTTATTATCTAATGTTTTGCTGAATTTTAGTTTGGTGAAGAAAGTAACTAGCAGTATCTGTTCTAAGTTTTAATAAAAAAAAAAAACCTGTTGGAGAAACTCACTGACACTTTTCAGTAGCATCCAGTCTTCTACCCATATGAAGTGGAGTAGCCATTTAACGGTCGTAAGTTGCGGTGTATGGTTGGGGTTTTTTTTACAGCTACATGGGTAGCTCTGCACACAGCAGTGACACCCCAGCTGCCCTCGCTCAGAATCCCGTCTCGCACACGGCACGCAGGTCCAATTCTTGGCGCTGTGGTCGTGGAGCCTGCGGTCCTGAGGATGGCAGTGTTGGCTTTGTCTGACGGGCAGAAGATGATGAGCTGTGGGGGGGACTGGGGCTTTCTAAAGAAAGGTTTCCTGATACTGTGTTTACAAGGGGAAAACTTCCTAGAGGACTGTCTTTTAGGTGCGAACCCAAAGGATTCCTGTGTAGTCGAAGTGAAATACTAGTGCTGCTCATACTGGTGAGGGGAATGGGGGTAGTTTAATAGCACCCTTGCTTTTGCTAGTCCCTGCTTTCCCAGATTAGGCTATGTGACCTTGTCCAGTGCTGTGTGAAAAGACTTGTGGAACATGTACAGAAATGTAAAAAGCGGCTGTTCTTATTGAGCTGTGGAAACCTGTACTAACCTGTCCCGTTAAGTAAATCCTGATGTTCTGTGTGACCTATGGTTCTGTACTCTGGCTAATGCTTTTCACTTGTGCTATAGAGTTTTAACCAGGGCCTGTGTAGCATTACAGGAGGCTGTGGTGCTGTAATGCTGAGGTGCTGTGCTCTCAGTAGCTCCTGCCCCAAGGACTAACGAACCTGGCAGCCTTTGCTGCTCAGGTACAGGATCCTACACCGGGCTGTGGCTCGTGGGTCCAAAGGAGGAAGAGCAGCAACAGTTTTGATCCCCAGTATTGTATCAGGAGGTCAAATAGTATGGGCTCAATGTGGTGGCCTGGGTTATCTCTCTTTACCTTGGTTGCAGGGTCTGGAGGGTAGAGTCCTCCT